AGTCACAAATATTCACTAAGACATTCCATGTGTTTTAAGGAATTTGTCTCGACCTGCAATCCAAAAAATAAAGAAAATAAATGATAACCACGTGAATTTAATTTCATGTCATGGTCCACCACACATACTGGAATTTTGAAAAACTGTTCTCCTGAAAGTAACACATTATTCCTGGAATTTCACCCCAAGAGTTAAGTGAATGACTGAAGTTTAGGCTTAGAGCTATAAACTAAACAGTTTTTCTTTAAACTACAGTCCATATTCCCGAAATGTCTGCAACAATTGTTGTCACCATCTTAAACTATTGTCCATATTCACGAAATGTCTGCAAATATTGCTGTTACCATCTTAAACTATTGTCCATATTCACGAAATGTCTGCAATACTTGTTGTCACCATCTTAAACTATTGTCCATATTCACGAAATGTCTGCAACAATTGTTGTCACCATCTTAAACTATTGTCCATATTCCCGAAATGTCTGCAAATATTGTTGTCACCATCTTAAACTATTGTCCATATTCCCGAAATGTCTGCAAATATTGCTGTTACCATCTTAAACTATTGTCCATATTCCCGAAATGTTTGTAAATATTGCTATCACCATCTTAAACTATTGTCCATATTCCCGAAATGTCTGCAACAATTGCTGTCACCATCTTAAACTATTGTCCATATTCCCGGGAAGGGGGGGGGGCTAAAGAGAACAGAGTTAGTTTGGAAAGGTAAAAAAGTTAACACTTTCATATCAATGGGGAGTCACAATACTGGGAAATTTAAAGTCTTAAACAACTACATCTCCGATGGGGACCAACGGGGAGGCAGAGTTCTTCAATAGAGGATTCACTGCCAACCCAGTTGACACGTCCCTTAATGACATAAATACGAAATAGACTCTAACGAATTATATTTATTATTGAAGTTTCAGGTGGTAGTGCTTTCTGGTGGAACGTTTCTTGGGATTTTGGTTAGCAAGATCAAAAAAGTTACAAAGTCAGGAATTTCTCGTATCACCAGTTACTGTGGCGGTATTTCAGTTCATAAAGCATACCAAAAAGTCTTATACGATTATACATTTTAACCAAACATTTTCTAAATTTCCTGAATTATTTGTTAACATTGAAAGCTTAAGGGATGCCTGTTAATAAATACATCTGACTGGTTGAAAATCTTTGCATAAGGAGCTCATTACTTATGTTTTGCTTTGACAACTGTTGTTTGATAATGAAATTTTAACACCTGCCTTAAAAACTCTTTTGAAATATTTCACTGGTTCACATTAACAAGGTAAAAAAAAAATAATAGAGAACTGGAAGGTTCTATTTGAAACAATAAACGAAAGTTTTAGGTAAAAATTGGAAAATTGCTGATATAACATGTGATGTTTGTTGGGAAGAACTCACTTTTAATAAGAGGGTTGAAATATAGTATATTTTACTGCACCTTACATTTCTTGGAACAGCCGAGAGGAGGCTCTGTAAAGTAGATGAATTTATCTTATGCGCTCTCACCAATTAATACCAGTCATCGATCTTTACATATATAAAGTGAAACTCCGTAGAGTCTTGAGTTAAGATAAGGCGTATCCAATCAAAATTTGCTGGTAAATAGGACGTGGTAATTTTCTAGGTATATCTGTCAACGTCATCTTGTTTTTCTGTTGATGAACGTAGTCGAATTGCTACAGTTAAGTTACGGAAGACAAATGGCTTGAGGCCCGGCATGGCCAGGTGGTTAGGGCGCAATCTGAGGGTCGCGGGTTCGAATCCCCGTCACACCAAACATGCTCGCCCTTTCAGCCGTGGGGGGGCGTTATAATATGACGGTCAATCCAACTATTCATTGGTAAAAGAGTAGCCCAAGAGTTGGCGGTGGGTGGTGATGGCTAGCTGCCTTCCCCCTTATCTTACACTGCTAAATTAGGGACGGCTAGCGCAGATAGCCCTCGTGTAGCTTTGCGCGAAATTAAAAACAAACAAGCTCAGAGAAAAAGAAGGATCAAACGATGATCGAATATCTTTGAAATATATCCATTATAAGAAATTTATACACAGCTAAGATGATTACGACTCGTGGGTTGATTAACTCAAAATTCAAAAACAAACAAATGGCTCGTAAATTTCGTTGAACAATCCAAGAATAACAGGCGTATTAACTTTGATCTTGGCTGTGAGTATAGGCAGAAACTCAAACACTTTTGTTCTACAAAACCGTTTTGGTGGCTAGTTTTTATAAATATGGCGGCATATTGAATTATCACGTCTTTCTCCTACTGCCTTCCATAGTTGTGGTAAACCCTAATGTGACTTGTCACGGTTCGTTCGGTATATCTACCATCACATTCTTAAACAAACCTTAAAATAACCTCACACATACATGTATATATATATTAATAGTCCATTTTATAATAGTATAGGTGTAATAAAACATACTGCAAACATACCCGTTTCCTTTCGTAAATAAATCACCCCTCTTTCCTCAATACGTTTGTATTTGATAATATAC